CCACTCCTGAACTGAGTGTTATTTTCTTTTGTCACATTATATGTAAATTAGGAGCTGGTAGTTCAGCTATGCAATACTGGAATTCCATTGAACCAAGGAGCAGCTTACTTCAACATAAAGATCCTAATAATGGCACCTTTCTGAATCTATCCCTGCAAGACACATGATGGTGTAAGACTACATAATTGTACATAATTGAGTAGCACTAGCAAGGGAACTACAGTAGTCCTTCAGCAAAAAAGGTATTGGTGATCAGTTCCTTGGATCTTGCCATAGTCACACCTTTCCACTTGCACAATTGTACACAGTGTACACTTCTGTCATGGCAGCACGACAGAACACAATTAACATTGCTAGTTTCTGGGCAAGATCTGTTTAATTTGTACATATTTTAATTTTGTATTTTATGTTCTAAATATTATGTCATATAATATGCCTTATTTTAATTGTGATGCTTCTGACACGAATAAACAAAGAAACTTGCATAAATTACTTGATTGTTAAGATAATATGTAAGACTCTGTTTCTAAAATAAGTATCTGCATCTCCGTAAAGGAAACCTTTATGTTATTTTTTCCCTCTATTTGTTCTCTACAATTCCTTCATGTAGCTCAAGAGCACCTCCTCCATTCAAGAGAATAAATTCAAGGGAAAGACTTGGAATAACATAGTAAATTTAGCAGATGAAGTTCTTTAAAAGGAATAGGGACTGGAGGGCAGAGGCAGAGAGTTAATGGGTATGAGGGGAGATCAAGATTTTTTAATGATTTTCTTTATTGAAAAAAATGTGGGTTTAGAATAACAGAGTTGTAAGGGACCTTGGAGGTCTTCTAGTCCAACCCCCTGCTCAAGCAGGAGACCCTATTCCAGGCAACCACATTCCAGACAAGTGGCTGACAAGTCTCTTCTTAAAAGCCCCCAGTGATGGAGCACTCACAACTGCTGAAGGCAAGCCGTTCTACTGATTCATTGTTGTAATCATTAGGAAATTTCTTCTTAATTCAAGGTTGCTTCTCTCCTTGATTAGTTTCCATCCATTGTTTCTGTCTTGCCTTCTGGCGCTTTGGAAAATAGGTTGAGCCCTCTCGGAGGGCTCAAATATTGGAGCACTGTTATCACTGTTTTGATATCAGTGTTCCAATAGTTGGAATACGGAGAACACGGAGATGAATTAAGCAAGGGAAATGGTTTTCGGAAGCTCCTCCTGAAGCTGCTGTTTTTGAATGCAGGGTTTGGGTTCCCAAAGCTTGGCAAGACCCAGCAGAGGTTTGTTGGCGGTTCAGGACAAAAAGCTTTGAAAGGATTTCTATTTCTGCAAAGAATTGTTACTCTGAAAATGGCAGCTGCTTCCAGGAAGCTGGAGACTAGGCTATACCACTGTGGGGTTCCATTGGGGCAGGATGGGGTAGGGTGGGGTAAGAGAGGTGCGTTTTGCAGCATCCTTGCTGTCAGCCAGAAGGGCGAGTGACTGCTGAAGCACTGCAACCTTATCTTGAGAATATTATGGAAATAATTTTGACACTGTCTTCTTCTGAAATGTTTTTATGAGCTCCCAGTCAACAGTTCTGGAATTTCCAGGCAGATCCCCCCCCCATCCAAATAATATCCAGGGTTGGTCTCTTTCAAACAGGGTAACTTTTTAATATGGTTTTTATATGGTTCTATACAGGTAGCTCTTGACTTACAACCATTCATTTAGTGACCGTTTGAAATTATGACAAAATAATAATAATAATAATAATAATAATAATTATTATTATTATTATTATTATTATTATTATTATTATTATTATTATTTAATTTGTATACCACCCTACTCCTTACAACTGTAGCAGCATCCCCATGGTCACATGATGAAAATGTGGGTGCTTGGCAACTGGCATGTATTTATGATGGTTGCATTGTCCTGGGGTCATGTGATCACCTTTTTCGACCTTCTGACAAGTAAAGTCAACCAGGAAGCCAGATTCACATAACAACCGTGTTACTAACTTAACAACTGCAATGATTCACTTAACATCTGTGACAAGAAAGGCCATAAAATGAGGTAAAACTCACTTAACAAATGTCTAATTTAACAACAGAAATTTTGAGTCCAACTGTGGCCGTATTTTGAGGACTACCTGTACCATTTTTATACCTGTTGATGTTGATTTGGTTCTTTATATTGTTTTTAATTGCTGTTGGCTCCCCAGAGTCATATCTTTAAAATGGGCAGCTATATAAATTGGGGAAGAAATAACTTTCCACCCTGAATGGGTGGAACAGTTAGGTATAAGAGGAATATGAGAGGAGGTAATTTAACACTCAAGAATTCTTCAAAGGACCTAAGCAAAATAAAACTCAGTCTGAAATACCAAAAGTGCTCTTAAAGAAGCATTTTTAAATAGGAAAGAAGCTTAAAAATGGTTCATAGAATGCTCTGGGCAAGTACAAACACTATTATTTCTCATCATTCTGTGTGCAAAATATACATATGCAGCTACATTCCATTCTGAGAAAGATTAAATGGCCTAGATATATGGGGAAAAATGGCATTTTCCAAGGCTGTAAGGCTTCTGCAAAAGATCTGTTGTTAAATATGTAGCACTATTGTGGATCTCTGAAACTTACTACTGTTCAAGCTTTCTTTTATTTATGTACCTCTCCCAGGAGAATTCCTCCTGTTTCTGGAATTTGGCCACACCTTGAAATCAGATTATATTATTATTTCAGATGTTATTTGATGTTATAAAGTAATTGCATTCCTACATTCTGCATTCTATCATTTGCTGCATTTCATTTATTTTGCACAGTCTCCATTTGGATATTTCATTTATATTATTTTAACCTGTCAGCATTAAAAGCTGGCATTTTTTTTGCTGATCACCATATTGCAGTAAATGAAAGATGATCTGATCTATTTGATCTGTTTGCAAACAACCTGTATTTCCTAAGTTAGGTGTGGGAATTTTTGGAATCAATGAGAGAAGCAACTCTTGGCATCAAGGAAGTGATATCATCAGGATTGTACCAAAACCAACTGAAAGTTATTGTGTGAAATACTGTAAAGTACTTTTCACTTTCTCCTACTCCAAACTTTTTAACAGGTGGGTGCTTACTCTCCTTTAATAGGACATAGATCCAACAAGATTCCTTATTTTTTTTTATTACTTTCATGTTTCAAAATAAAACAGCTGAATGAGAACAGCTGCAATTAAATAACTCATTAGTAGACATCTGGCATATGTTTGTTGGATTAGCATTTCAAATATAAAAAAGGGTTTACATTTTAATTCAAACAGTAGAGAGAAAAAAACAGTAGGGAGAACTTTCTGATTGCATTTTTTTCACATTATAGTCTATTCCCCTACCTAAACATTTCAGATTGTAGGCTCTCTGACTTCAGAATTATATGGAATATTTGCTTTTTAAAATCATACCTGTTGCATTGCACAGATATTTTTTCAGATTCACACTTTGCATTTTCTCCATATACTTTTTTTATGCTTCCTAATATTAAAAATGCATCCAATGTTGTAGTATTTCAGGGGGGGGATAAATAAATAATTAAACCAACATAAAACTACAAGGAATTATTCAAATTATATAAGCCTTCTTTCAGTCCAAACACTTGCCTCCAATTTGGGTCTGTAATGGAATGCTTGAATGAAATTCACGACAGAATAAAATTACTTCCATTTGTATCCAATTGGGCTAAAAGCAAGCAACATTATTATGTCTCCAAGAGCAGGCATAATTAAGTGGAGGAAGGGACCAAGGATCCCATTTAATTTGGCTAAGAGTATTAGTGAATCGAATACAGAAAATCTCCAAGAAAACGCATTTGGTTCTAGGCCAAAGAAACAGAAAGAATTCTGGGAAGAAAGATTGAACAGCTAATGTCATAGAAAGCATTCCACATTTCTTACTCTACCTCTGATCCAATGCAATACAAGCTTTATTTGCAGTCAGTGAGGAGTTCTGTATTTCATGTGACAAACAATCACAATAATGAGAAAGAGGGAAAAGAAATAAAAAGGGGAGAAAGACAGAGGCAGAATAGAAATGTGAGGGTGTTTCTGTAACACAGGTCCACAATACAAGAATATAGTTGGGGAGCAAAGCTCTACCAAGAACCTCTAGAACAGAACAGAATTTGGTATGCTTTCTCCAAGTTTATAGTGGCTGATCAGCAAGTAGAAAATGAGTATTTTCCTCTTTGCGCTTACTGAAAGACCTAGATAGGAAGACTTCTGGTCAAAAACACAAATATAAAAGTACCACAACATGCAAACGGATACAAAAAAGATGTTGAGACTCTGGAAAGAATGAAGAGAGGAGCAACAGGGATGATTTGGGGGCTGGAAGCTGAGGCGTACGATGAATGGTTGCAGGAACTGGGTATATCTAGTCTAACGAAGAGAAGGTCTAGGGGTGACTTGATAGCAATCTTCTAATATTTGAAAGGCTGACACAAAGAAGAGGGGAACAACCTGTTCTCCAAAGTACCTGAGGACAAGACAAGAAGTAATGGATGGAAACTTATCAAAGAGATATCCAATTTAGGATTAAAGAGAAATTTCCTGACAGAGGGAACAATTAATCAGTGGAATGGTTTGTCTTCAAAAGCTGTGGGTGCTCCAACATTGGTGGCTTTTAAGAAGATATTGGACAGTCATTTGTCTAGAACATATTGGGTCTCATGCTTTGGCAGGGGATTGGACTAGAAGGCCTCCAAGATCCCTTCCAACTCTGGTAGTCTGTGTTCTTTTTACATCATGACATAAACACTGGCCTTTCAAATTTATCTCTTAATGTCAGACTCAAATGCAGAAGCCATTGTGTGGGACATAATATCATCATACATGTTTTGCCATGTACTCCCCACTTACTGTGCTCCAGATGTCTGTCTATACATGAAATGGATGCCAAAAAGATTATTAGGTCCACACTGTAATAATATGGGCAAATAATCATACACACATGATTAACTGAATTTCTCCCTGTGGACCAGGTCATAAGCATCAGAATGTTTTTCTATCTCCCCCCATTGGCATGGATGCCAGAAGAAGAGCACTTCCATGTGATATGGATAAAATGCTAGATATTGTAAGTAATTGGCTGGGAAGAATGGCCCACCAGACAAACCACTATCATGCTCAGAAAGAGCCTTTCTGGAGATTAGTGTCAAAACTCTCATACTTTATTCTCTCTTAATCATGAATGAAACCAAATACTAGTCTGATAAACCAAAGTGTCTCATTCCTTTCTTTCAAGAAGGTAATTTTGATCTTTCAAAAACAAAATTCAAAACTAGGAAGAAGCATAAAATGACTGGTGTTAAAAGTCATACTTTCCTTATTTCGTTCTTGAATAAGCAGACTCGCAGAAAGTGAAATAAACATTGTGAAAAAAAGCACTGCAAAGATATCCCAGATACTGGGAGTATCATTTTATGTTTTCTTGAGGGAATAGACATGCTGATAAACATGTTCAGTACAAGAATATTTTATGATTGTAGAGCAAGGGTAGGGTAATTTCACCTTATGTACTCGTAATTTTAATGTTCGTTTTTAACTGTTTATGTTGTAGATGTTATGTAGCTGTAAGCCACCCAGAGTTACCCTATGGTACGATGGGCAGCCAATAAAATTTATGAATAAATAAACAAACAAACAAACAAACAAACAAACTGTCAGATGTAAATGCCTTATTCTCCAATGTGTAAATAATGTATATATGGAACATCAGAGGTTAACTTATTCTTTGGACTTTAATGTATTCATAACTTACCACTCCCATTCCTAGCTCCACCCCTTGTATATATAAGGAGCCACCCTCACCATTCTCGTTGCTTCTACCTTGAATATTCAGTGAATATAGAATGCCTATCATAATTAAAAAGAAATATATTTAAAGCTTTAACTTCTATTATCTTTATTGAGTCTGATCCTGGAAATATTGCAACAAGCTGGTAGCAGAGGATGGTTAATTGACTCAATAAGTAATTAAAAATGTCCAAGAAAGATAGGCCCAACACCAGGGCCTACAGCAAAGAAATAGAAACTGATCAAGAAATGATCAACGAATCCACCAATGCGATTTCGAGAGAATCCGAAGAATACACCACTGAAGAAGAAGAACTAATGAGTGAAAATAATGACCAGAAAGAAATCGAAATAGAAAATAACGAACTCAGGTCAGAGATATTAAAGATACTAAAAAGCCAAAAGAATGATGAAAGTCTCATCGCGGACCTCCAGGAGATGCTGAAGAACAGCGGAGCAGCGAGAGAGAAAAACGTCATTAAAGAAAAACCCAAAGATCAAAAAATCGTAAGTGAGATGACTACTGAGAAAATAGTTGTTAAAAAGAAAAGATGTGATCCCGCGCGAAATTTTGAATGGCAGCCATCTTGGTTTCAACGAACTTCAAAAGAGAATGGAGCAGAGCCAATCAAAACGCTCAGTTCAAAATTTCTGGCGCGAAAAACACTATCAGACGAAGAAAGTGAGAAAGAAGTCTCAAACTCTTCAGATGATCCAAAATCAGAAAGTGAAGACGATTTAACAAAATCTCAAGTAAAATCAGCAATGAAAACGCTTTTTGCTGCTTTTGGGCCAAGACTGAAAATTACCAAGACATCTACGAAGAAGCAAGAAATCAAACCGGCGACTCAAGACCTGCACGCTCCCATCCTGACTTCGAAAGCGACGACGCCCGAGCCCAGAGAGCCATGCCGATTTCGCCCTACACCACAGACAAAATCGAATACCAACGCACACAAAAAGATGAAAAGAACCGTCACCACCACCAGAACCCCAAAAACCGAGCCAGAGACCGACTCATCTGAGGAGGAGCGGATCGAGAGAGCTGAAAGGGAGAGAACCTTCCACGACGCCACCAAAGAAGAAATGAACAACGCGCATGTGCGAAACTACGTAGACGACCCAGAAGGACTTGAACTGGCCAGAGAACCGCGCAGACTCATTGCAAGCATCCCAATGCCGTTCTGTAATTTCCTGCACTTGAGAGATCACGGACTGCCCCAGGTTGTAAGTAATGGACAGAATAATGTAGGTAACTTACCCAGTGACTTCCCAAAACTTAGAATTGATGGCATTAATTTACAAGAGTGGTATCAACAGCTTCAGGTTATTTTCATGAAAGAAAATTTACTATTCTTTATAACTAGCCCTCCAAGAAGACCTTGGACTTTAAAAATAGATTGTTTACATCATAGAGCATTTTTCATAATAATATCTAGCGTGTCTCCTGCAATGTATCATAGCATCAAACCAAACCTAACTGTATCAGAAATAATTCAATGCATGTTTAATCTATTTCACAGCGATAGCGTAGCTACAACCACAAGAATGTCTAAGGATTTCTTTTCCTCTAGAGTAAAACCAGGGGTTTCTATAAGTGAGCATTTGATAAATCTAAACAAAATAAGAGCTGAGTTACAATTGAGGGGGGAAGTGATTTCAGATCAAACAATGAAAAGTGTTATTATCAATTCACTTGATCCATCATGGGATAGCTTTATGTCACACTTAGATACCATTAATTTGGGATATTTATCCATAGAAAGTCTATCTAACAAATTGATAGCAGAAGACAATTCAAGAAAAAATCGATCCAATAACCAAACAGACCACAAACCTTTTAGGAAAGTAGTCTTTCAAGATAAACATAATGAGGCCTTTAGATGCTACAATTGTGGATCCAGGGAACATAGTAGAAGAGACTGCCCCAAAGTCTCAAGAGAGAGACGTAGACCAGAATATAGGAGCAAATATAATTACAGACAATCTTCCACAGATAGACACAAATATAGAAGCCCACCAAATTACAAAGAAGGTAGAGGGGGTAGAGAAAATTCAAAAGAGAGGAAATCTGGGTCACTGAATGGGCTAAATAAACAAGACAGCACCAGAACACAGCAGGATGAGAATAACAATTGGCTTATTGATTCTGGTGCAACAAATCACACCACCAACAACAAAAGTATATTATCTTCATTTATAGAAGATAAGTTTGTGATAAAGGTAGCTAATCAAGAAAAGGTTCAAGTACTAGGCAAAGGAAATGTGACCTTGCCTGGTCTAGGGAAAATAGAGGGGGTATTATTAATCCCAGAAATACCTCACAACATACTAAGTGCCATAAAATTAAGCAGAGAATCTGATATCAATATAGTTTTCTCAAAGGGGAAAGCAACTATAGAAAAGAACAAAACAAATGTAGGTACTGTAATGATAAAAGGAGGTCTACCCTATCTGATAACTAAAGAAAGATGTTTACATAACATTGATTCAAATATGGAAGATTGTATTGAAGCAGATGATGAAAATGTCAGTAACAGTGACAATGATGAGTGTAGAATAACTCATGATCACAAAAACACATACAAGGAAAAGAAACCAAAAATAGGTAAACCAATTCATGATGAGTGTGCTCACATCTTACACAGGAAGTTAGGACATGCAAGCTTTCCTGTAGTACAAAAAATGACTGAACACGCAGAAGGTGTCAAAATAAAAAATTGTGAAAATTATTTGGAATGCTCAGTATGTAAGTCCACCAAACTAAAAACCAGTCCCAGACCAAAAAAATCTAACAGATCAACTAACAATATTTTTGATTTGGTACATATGGACTTAGTTGGTCCATTAAGTCCCTCAATTACCTATAGAAAACGTTACTTCCTAACAATAGTGGATGACTACAGCCGATATGGTTTTGTTTACACATTAAAGCACAAGGATGAAACATTTCAGAAATTTAAGGAATTCTACAAACGTATAGAAACACAACATAATATCAGAATAAAGCAAATTATGACAGATAGGGGATGTGAGTTCATGTCTAAAGAATTCTCCCAATGGTTAAAGGATAGAGGAATGTTACATTTCATGTCCAATCCTTTTTCTGCATTTCAAAATGGAGTTGCAGAGAGGAAAAATTCCACACTACAAACCATGATTAGGTGCACATTAGAGGATGCTGGTTTAGGCAAACAATTTTGGTCAGAGGCATTACATTATTCGAATTACACTCAAAATAGAACCTGGTCCAGTATTGTGAATAAGACACCATATGAGGTGATGTACAATAGAAAACCCAAATTATCACACATGCACATATTTGGAGTCACTGCAGACGTACACATACCTAAACAATTGAGGAGAAAGGGAGAAAACGTATCCAGGAGATTAAGATTCATGGGATACGAAACTGGAACCAAAGGGTACAGATTTATTGATAGTAATAACAAATTTATAGTATCCAGAACAGCTGTGTTCCATGAACAGGCCAATTGGTCAAAATTGCACCTTAATGAAATATTTCCTAATAAATGTAAAGATAAGATATCTTGCGAGGAAGGAACAACAGAAAATCAAAATATTAACAAAAGTAAGAACAAAACCAAAACTTGGACTAATAGTCAGCATAAAATAAAGACAGACACATTAACAAAAAAGGAAGCTAGATATTTGCATGATAACCATAGCAAGCCTGAAAGAACTATTAGAAACAATAGAAACCAAATACCAAATAAATACAAAGATTACATAATGCATATGAATGGAGAACAAATAACACCTAATACATATGAAGAAGTATTGAAACTTCCACATGAAGAAAGAGAAAAATGGGAACTAGCTATGGAAAAAGAGATGGAAAGTTTACAAGGATTAAATGTATTCACACCTGCGATCGCACCTAAGGATAAAACAATTATAGGTACCAGGTGGATTTATAAAATTAAGAACTTAGAAGGAGGCAATACCTTATACAAGGCTAGACTAGTTGCACAAGGCTATGCACAAAAATATCCAGAAGACTATACTGATACATATTCACCCACAGTGAGAACAGAGAGTGTCAAAACAGCCCTTGTAGTAGCATCTGCACTCAATCTGGACGTATTCCAATATGACATACAGACCGCATACTTACATGCAAAATTAGATAAGGAAATATATGTAAGAGCACCACACAGTCAATACACTAATAAGAACGAAATTTGGTTATTAAATAAGAGTCTGTACGGATTAAAGCAATCTGGCAAAAGATGGTACGATTGCTTGGTAAAAGTACTT